CTAGGGATTCAATAAAGATTACCCCATGAACGGATGGTGGACTACAATGGAATTAAAACAGTATTAAAGACGATACTCAGGACTGAACCAAAACAGTGGATCGTCTAAATAAACCTTATACATGTCTTAACATAAGCCAAAGAGATGCCACAAATATAATGACAGATGCACCAACTAACCCAACTGGTAGGAGTGGAACATAACGGTGGTTCAAGCCTAAATAAACCTCATCCCTGGCTTAACTTAAGCCGAAAGGATACAACTAATGAAAATAACAAATACACCATCTAACCCAACTAAGAATGAACCATAACTGTGGGTCATGTATAAATAACCAAGCCAATCCTCGGATTAACGTAAATCCAAGGAACAACTTACAATAACCAATGCCGTTAATAATGCCTCCACAGATGGCATAAGCCGACTGAACCAAGTCTTTCTATAGCGTCTCAATAAAGATATACCTAAGGATTGACAATGAGCCGTCATTCATACATTAAATCTCACTGCATATAGAAATTGTCCTGACTGAACCAAACTCTCCCCTAGAAATTCAATAAATATTACCCCAAGAACAGATGGTCGACTACAATGGCATTAAAACAGTATTATAACTCAGGAGAGAACCAAAACATGGATCCAGTCTCAATAAACCTTATAAGTAACCAAGCTAATTCCTGGATTAACTTAAATCCAAGGAACAACTAACAATAACCAAATCTGTGAATATTCTCTCCACAGGACGTTCGCAAGCATAAGCCTTAATATTAGGAAAAATCCATAACATGATAGTAAAGTCTTCGTGCTACAACGTTGTCAGACACTACCACGAAGTCTAAATTAACATGGACAGGAAAAAGTTAGCCCAATCAAAAATTTGGATCGAGCTGATAAACCGCATTTTAAATTCAATACAACATATCTTAAGAGTCCAAAAAATAAAGGAAGCCATTAACTGCGCGTTAGAAATAGGTATGAATTACTCTCCAGTCTGGCAGAAGAAACAGTAGATCTAAAATGGCTGGGAATACAGGAGCTATGGAAGTCAACATGCACTGTCATATTGGGAAGGAAAAAAAAGAACAAAAAGAATGGATCACAACAGAGACATGGGCCAAAATTGAAGATAGAAAAGAGATAAAGCAGAAGATGAACAAATATAAGTTTGAAAAAGAGAAAATAAACCTCAGAACACATTATTGGGAAGTAAATCGCATGGTCATTAACAGTGCAAAAAAAGACAAAAAAACAGTTCATACAGGAGATGACAGCAGAGGCAGAAACTGCAGCAGGACAAGAAAACATGAAGAGGCTCTATGAAGTAACCAGAACCCTATCAGGCAAGAATATTAATCCCAACAAACTAGTGAAAGATACATATCATAACAAGTGACGCAGAACATCAGTGACACTGAGCACAGAGTTTTAGCACTAAGTACCCACAACACTGATACTGAGTACACACTGCTAAGACTGAATACCCGCAGCAATGTTATCGATTACCAACAGAGCCAGTGTTTAGTATCAACAGCTGTGACAACAAGAACCGACTGCACAGCTTCAACAGTAATTACCCACAGCTTCAGCGCTCAGTAGAACTGGCTTTAACACTCAGTACCCACTGTTTTAGCACTGAGTACACATAACAGTAGCAATATGTAGCTACAACACTTACATTAGTAATAGGTAGCAGTATTATTTGAGTACAACAACAGTAGCATGTAGTACCAAAATCAGAAATATTGGGTATAATCAACTATAGTAGTGCGTACCTACACCAGTGACACCAAGTACCCACAGCAGCTACATTGAGCATGGAAGACTATACAACGGCTGAACACTGTCATTATTTGACAGTATTTGTTCACGTGCTTTGTGTGTATAGCAAATATAGGTCGAATGAGAAATATGCGTCTTTACTAGTTGACCTTGATTAAGAGTTCACGAAAGGGGGAAACTTAGGCCATACACAATTAAGGAAGTCCTTTCATATGTAGCGTGTTACTGTACTGTACTAGAACCACGATAGCCATGCTTCACAATAGCCATTCATAAGAGTTAACCAATGAGCAGGTGCAGCAGAGCTATGCAACTCTATGCCTGAACTACTAACCTATAGTTTTCATGAATTTCACAAGTGAGTCTACATTTGATTTCGTGTTGATGTGTTTAGTTTGTGATATTTTATTGTTTGTGCATGGATATTTAGAGAAACACATGTCAGTAAAAAATGTAAAAGACCCGGAAATTTAAAAAAAAATTACTGATTGGTCCATTAGCGCCGGATTTCGCAAGTTGGCGACATAACGTAATTAACATAAAAAAATAAGTACACATTTAAAACCAAAATATACTTCAAATTCAGTGTCAGTATGATAAGAAAAATCAACACAAATAACTGTGTACACGGTTCGAACATAATTCAGGCATTAAGGGGCTAGAGCACATGCATGTTTGGATAATCTAATGCCATACAATAAATATATCTATACAAAGCTTGTAACATAACTTAGTTCAAACTGTATTCATCCATAAAGCCTTTGATACAAGTCGGATTTTGAACAGAAAACCTCTATAATTCTATTTCTAAAATTGTGTTAAGCTGTTGTTCTATTCATGCAACCGATTGGTAAACCTAGGATTAGATACATTTGTTTGCTTTTTTCTCAAATAATATAATACGTTGTATTAAAGTTAAGCTTTGCCTTTAAAAAAATAAATTTACATGGCAACGCTAAGTATTCATTGTTGACGTGTTTTTAACCAGGTTTCGGATTAAAATAAGCTTAATTTTAAAAATGTTTAGGGTATACACGCAAAGTGATTATCGAAAAATATCTTAGACATCAGCTTGTTTGGAATTAAATTTTGCGACTAGTCAGTTTAAGGCAATAGGGAGAAACTAGAAAACAACTAGGATCAGTTTATCAGGATTTAGTGTTACAGAATGTACTGCTTTAGCTACTTAAACTGTTTCAATACAGAAAGTTCGTTTAATTTAATTTTTGTTTAATAGAATGCTATTATTTTGACAAGGCCATAGAGTAATTATGGTACGAAAAATCATTTGCATATAGTAAGCATAACGTTATCTAAAATTATTACACAAAAGAACTAAACACTATGAACAATATACATAATTTAACGCCCACACCACCCGTCCCAAACCCCAACACTCCGCACATGGCATAGCAAAACATAGCATCGCTATAACACTAAAACAACGATTCCCACTAAAAACATCTTCCTACACCCTACATCTTGCTATACGCATGCAAAACACAATTCAAGCACAAGTACATTTCCCCGCACAACACTATGAACCACACCTTAAAGTAAAAAAAAAAAAAAACATGCTATCCATATATCATCACCACACTTTGAAAATCAACCAAAACACTTGAACCACATCCCTCATCGCAAAAAAACAATACAACTTACAACGTACATAAAACCTTACACTCTACACCACATAAAGGCCTACAACATACCCACGGAATAGTCCAAACCCCACAAAAACCCACTCTAGATCCCAAATCAGACCGGGCTACTTTGCACAGCACCATGAACACACCCCAACCAACACTGCCCCCCCCCCCCCTGCAATCCCCTCCCTTCTTTCATCGACACCAAGGTGTGTACTGGACCAAATAGATATTCCTTATGGGCGCCGGGAAAAAAAATGTCTAGGTAAAACCAATGATGAGTGTTATAACGGGCACATTAAAATATCGACGTTTTACATAGTTTTGCATTCTTGTCTTTATGTCTGTGAGTTTGTGTGTGTGTGTGTGAACGCGATACATTGAGTACCTTTACATATAGGTTGATGAAATTTCATATTTAAGAATTATATGAACCGTGTAGTTCTGTATCAACTTTTCAGCGATTTCCGTTTACCGGAAGTGGAACTTTTTCTATTTTCAATTTTTCAAAAGCCTATAGCTATGAGTACTGTTTCAGATAGATTGATAAAATTTCACATGTAAGTAAAATATCTAACAATCTGCTTTCTGTCAAATTTTGAGTTATTTCCGTTGACCGGAAGTAGTAATTAACTCTATTTCCGAGTTCTCAAAAACGCATGTGAATTTATAAAGTGCTAATAATATTCAGCACCAATATACACATATTTGTTTGACGTTTACTAGGTGGGCATTTTTTTCTACAAGATTCTATTCTATTTTTAAAAGTTTATGTGATCAAAATGGATTAAAAATCATATGACCATGTTTCGAGTTGTTCCCCCCCCCCCCCCCCCCCACCCCTGTAGTGTATTAGAATGTTTGAGTAAGTTTCGGGAAAATCACTCACGGTTTATTTCCCCAGTAACTTTATCGTTTGTGTCTCGGAATCTGTGAGAAAGTAAAGCTAAAGCAAATCGCACAACTTTTATTTTTTGTGTCTATGTGCATTTATAAATGGAAAAAGTAGATTCATTGATCACTCTTTAAGAAGTCTTAAGGATTGGACTTTGCAGATGAAATTAAGATAATAAACCAACGCCAGAATTCTACACGTATTTGCAAGATAAATAAGACTACGTGGCCTAGCGGTAGAGCGCTAGACTGCTAACACGGGAGTCTCGAGTTCAAATCCGGGTATAACTCAGAAGAACGTCCATACGTCTACACAGCTGCATTGGGTACCTAAATCACGTTAAGCAAAGTAAATACTACTGGGCATAGTGCTGAAAACACTATCTCTTCATATGCCGAGTTCAGAGAAACAGATCAACTCTACTTCACTTGCTCCGTAGATCGTCAGGTTCGAAAATGGAACTTAACTTACCCAAGTATTTATTAAATGAGGAATTTCAAGGAATCCACAAGTTTTGAGCAAACGAGGGATATTAAAAAACTTCCGGACTAGTGGATTTGACAGAAAAACTAGAATATTAATGTACACAATATAAAGATGTACAGAAAAATATACATGAAAACAAGCACATAAAACATTAAGAACCTGCATGTGTAATTTTTTTTTATTTTGAATCTACTTTACGAGCTCACATATTTGGAAAGGCATCTCGATGTTTGAATTACGAAGGATCATAATTCACTCCAGGAACATCGTTAGCCGCAGTCTTGGGCACTTGCTTGGAGTTATGTAAATTATGATCCGTTAGATTCGTAGGACCAACATCGTTAGACGAAGTCTTTGGAAATTTTGTGGAGTCCTGAAAAATGTTGTCCTGTGCATTATCACGAGAATCCGCTGATCGCTTTCTTATCGGTACGGTATCCCAATGAAAGTCAACGTTTTTTCCCGAGACGTCTTCAAACTTTCCGGTTAGTTGAAAGACGTAATTGCTTTCTTCGGTTAGATGTGTGGTTAAATCAGCGAAGTTTAGATATGCATTATTCAAATCGGCCCACAACCAAGGATGTGACATGGTTGAGCTCTCTCTCTTCAGTGCTGTGTAGAATGGGACCTTAGAGTCTCCAAATCTGTAGTTAAAAGTAGGACTATCTTCACTACCGCGATGCTTATAATGGTAGTTGGTTTTAACATTACTAATCCCCCCATCCCAACGTAGAAAGCCTTGAAGCTCAGTGGAAAACTTAACTATAATTGTCGCAGTATAGTTAACTGAAGTTTTAGTTTTGGCCACGACAAGACGCCATTTAGCTCCTGAGTTCGGTAATAAGGTTTTTACACTAGTGACTGTAAAGGAGTTTGTCTGCTCCTTTTTGTTTTCATCTGTTTGCGATGTACTTGTTTCATATCCAAACTTGAACCCACCAGAGAAAGAAAATCCGGGTGGTGAGAAAGAGATTCCCAAATTCAGTTCCTGGCTATTTTTCCAAGCGCTGGTTGTCGTATGGGTGACACTACTCTCAATGATTTCAGTTCGTGTGATAGTCTTTGATGAATTTGTCGGTTCTCTGTTAATAAACACTCCTGAGTCTATCGTTTCAGGCGTCAAATCTTCAATTAAAGGCGTTCCATATTTGATGTCTTTTATACCAAAACTCCAATCTCCATAGGCTAGGTTGAGACGTTGATCATGCTTATACCCATCACAAGGTTGTTTTGTACTAGAGAGCCATGTGTCGCCGTTCCTAATAAAATCCTGGCCAACATACTTGCTTCTACAACCTCCACACCAACCATAACCGAGATAATGCGCCAAATTAGCTATGTCGGACATTGTATTACCCATGATGCGTGTCTTCACCTTATGGAGATCGTCCAGTACTTCTGGTGCTGAGGCTGGCTTGCAACATCGCAAAACACTCATACAATGAATTCGATTACAGTTTCCCTTCCATAAACCTGTGACATAGTAACCATCATTACATTTACACAAACCTTTGTAAATAATACATATCCCAATATTGTGGTCATAGCAGTCACTATAGTATGCTGGGTGGTCAGATGGTTTAGAACAACGTCCCTCTTTTATGTTATTCAAAGAGCCACGGTCAGCGTCTTTCGTTCTGTAAATACCGTTAAGAAAAGAACCAGGTGGACAGCTTGACCAGGAGTTTTCTTTATTAAACGAGTTCCACCAATTAGCAATCATTATTTGTGTTTTAGATTTCTTCCATGGTGAATTTCTCGAACAACATTCAACTCCTTCTATTAATTCAATACTGTCCACGTCAGCAGTTCTGGAATCAACTCGATAAAAGCCAGAGATAAAATCATTTTTGTTATTACACATTGAAGTTCCCTCTTTTTTCCAACTTTCCGCCCAGTTTGTTCTGCTACAACCAGCACCTCCAGTGTCTACTAAAGCCATAAGAAGAACGACAAGAGAAAAAGACATCTTTTTTCGTCAAATCTGAAAAACTGATAATTTTGTTCACGTTAAAAAACAGTATTTTCATAAAGACAGAAAACCAGCAAATCCTGAGGGTGGATGGCATTTCGGAATACATTTTCAAATTGCAAATATGTCATACGGCTTTTTTGTTTCAATATCTGAATTTTCAAACGAAATAAAGGCACAGAGTATGGAAAAAGCTCTGGCAGGATTGATCCAATTGTTTTATTATAATACATTAATTTTTACTATAAATATAGTACAGCTTTCGAACAGGGTTGGTTGATATATCATTTTTGATAATAAAAACTACGGAGCTATTTCCCTGTTCGTTGCCTGCAAAAGTCATGGTCATGGTCATGGTCATGGACATGGTCATGGACATGGTCATGGTCATGGTCATGGTCATGGTCATGGTCATGGTCATGGTCATGGTCATGGTCATGGTCATGGTCATGGTCATGGTCATGGTCATGGTCATGGTCATGGTCATGGTCATGGTCATGGTCATGGTCATGGTCATGGTCATGGTCATGGTCATGGTCATGGTCATGGTCATGGTCATGGTCATGGTCATGGTCATGGTCATGGTCATGGTCATGGTCATGGTCATGGTCATGGTCATGGTCATGGTCATGGTCATGGTCATGGTCATGGTCATGGTCATGGTCATGGTCATGGTCATGGTCATGGTCATGGTCATGGTCATGGTCATGGTCATGGTCATGGTCATGGTCATGGTCATGGTCATGGTCATGGTCATGGTCATGGTCATGGTCATGGTCATGGTCATGGTCATGGTCATGGTCATGGTCATGGTCATGGTCATGGTCATGGTCATGGTCATGGTCATGGTCATGGTCATGGTCATGGTCATGGTCATGGTCATGGTCATGGTCATGGTCATGGTCATGGTCATGGTCATGGTCATGGTCATGGTCATGGTCATGGTCATGGTCATGGTCATGGTCATGGTCATGGTCATGGTCATGGTCATGGTCATGGTCATGGTCATGGTCATGGTCATGGTCATAGCACCCGACCACTTTGCTTTATATAAATATACTAGCGTACCTGACCACTTTGCTTTATATAAATATACTAGCGTACCCGTACCCGCGCGTTGCCCTGGGGTAGAAGTAAGTCTGACGGAATATATAAGACGGGTTTCATCAATGTGTTACCTATCGTATGTTCTAGGACGCGTGACTTTGTTTTCTAAAACTGAGTTATTTAAATGTAAACATTCCTGCGCTTGGATCTTAATTATCGGGGCACTCGTTCACCTACACCACTTATCACTCAGTGAAATAATGAGGTAGTATACACTTCGGTGAATAATTAAGTGTCAATGACTTAGATGGGCGCTCTCGGGAGCCCCCAGTTTCACTACAGCAAAGGTGCCACGTACGGCTCCTGGCTACTTAAAACTAACGTAAGCGCCATCGTGCTCATAGGATAACCCAGAGTACCTATTAGCATCCTGTTAACAATGATGCAGATTGCGTCATTCGCTTAAGTGACACGAATTAACAGGATTTTTTCTTTAACAAGTAAAAAATTATTTCACGTTTTTTTAAATATCAGTGTGACTTATGCAATATGTTAGCGTTACTAATGGTCTTATATTATATGCTTGGTCTCAATTTCTGATTCGATCGTCTAAAATAGATACTAATTGCATCATTCGCAAAATAACGAAACTGTTTGGATTTTTTTACAGAAACATACCAGTTAATAGTCTAAACTTGGTTAATTATTCTGATTATTAAAGTAAAACGTATTACAGGGTCCACAGCGGGCCATGTGAGCCTTTGGTGGCCGAAACTGAAATTTTTAATCGCAGCCAAATCGCACCCTACCAGGGCGTCGGCGAATACGCCTGATTCAATTTAGTGAGCAACTGTAACGCCCCATCTTATCCATTATCTATCACACTGTTTAGACCAAACGTAGTCGCCATATCGTCACGGTAAAGACCAGGGCGCCAAATCGCATCCTTCCGGGGGGCCGCCTATGCAAAATCCTCCCTCCCCCTCCCCACCCACTCCCTCCCACCCCAGAAATATTCTTGAGCGTATTCATTAACTCCCTAAAGGTTTATGGCACCCGGATAAACTGTGTCGAACCGCAATAGTATTTTTTTTATATACAGTATATAGAAAAAAATCCCACCATCCTGTGGCACCGCCCTTGTGAAACTTAAAAAAAGATTTTTTTGAAGAAACCTTCCCTGGAATGTTCTAATCATTTCCTAAATTTTGATAGCGATCGGATGAACGGTGTAAAACCGCAATCGACTTTTATTTTTATGTACCATATAAAGAGAAAAAAGAAATCGCGACCTGCGAAATTATTTTTCGCAGAACCCTCCCCAGAAAAATTCTTAGTAATTTCCCAAAGCTTGATGGCAATCGTGTGAACAGTGTCACGGCATTTGCACTTTTATTATTTTCATATACAACATTTAGAGAAAAAATCTCATCCCTACCGCGGCGCCGCCCTTGCGAAATTAAAAAAGAAATTTTTGCAGAACCCTATCGCCAACCGCTATCGAAGTTTATTTTTATATACCATATATAGAGAAAAATCGCACCCTCCTGTGGCGCCGTCCTTGCGAAATTAAAAACGATTTGTTTTACAGAACTCTTCCCCAGAGTATCCTAATCAACTCCACTAAAGTCACATGGCTATCGGATTAATGGTGTCAAACCAACATCAACTTTTATTTTTATATTCTATATATAGTGAAAAATCGCAACCTCCAGTGGCGCAGCCCTTCCGAAATTAAAAAGCATTTTTTTTACAGAACCCTTCCTCAGAGTGTTCTAATTACTCACCTAAGTTTGATGGCGATCGGAGAAACGCTGTCAAAACAAAATTGACTTTTATTTTTATATATCATATATAGAGAAAAAAAAAACATTCGAATTTTTTTTTTACAGAAACCTCTCCAGGAATATTCTCAACAACTTTCCAAAGTTTCACGGCGATGTGATGAGAAATGTAGTAATGCATAAAAGACAAACAGACAGACAGACAGACAGTCACACACACATACATTGCTCTCTCTCTCTCTCTCTCTCTCTATATATATATATATATATATATATATATATATATATATATATATATATATCCTATGTATATATATATATATATATATATATATATATATATATATATATATATATATATATATATATATATATATAATGATATTTACCGTTGACTTATCCACTAGTCTTGTGATAAAGTTGCAACGAATTATTTGAATATATATATACAGAGAGAGAGAGAGAGAGAGAGAGAGAGAGAGAGAGAGAGAAAGAAAGAAAGAAAAAGAGAGAGATGGAGAGATTCGTGTAACTAGAACAATAGCTTACACATCAATGAGAAATTAATAAAATAAAAATGTTGTACCCGCAGTTTTGTCTCGCCGTACTAGCACGGAACAAATCGCGAATCTCCAGGTTTAATTTTAAGAACAGCATTCTTCTTCCTTCTAAAATGTAGTATTATATGAGATTGCCTCAGCACAACTAAATGGTTTTGCGCCAGTTGGGGCGTTAACTCTAATTTCATCCTGCTTTTCAGTTAGGATTTTCTTCCATAGCCTTTGTTCAACCAAGAATAAACTACAAGATGTAAATATTTGATTTTGGAGTTATCGAGCATCATTCTCCCAATAGTTTGAACTCAAGATATGTTTGTTAAACAACCACGAGTTTTACCGCTAGTTACTTTCTCGTATATATGAAGTTTAGAGAAAGTTTTGTAATAGTGCAAAAAAAAAAATCGAATATTTTGCCAATCTCGACGTTTTATCTGCTTTAGTCGAAAAAACATAGTTTTGCAATCTTGTCGGAATGTCTGTGTGTATGTATATGTGTGTGTGCTGTAAACACGATAACTTGAGTATCTTTACAGCTAGGTTGATGAAATTTCATATATATATATATATATATATATATATATATATATATATATATATATATATATATATATATATATATATATATAGGCCTAAGTATTATATATATATATAGATAAGTAGTATATCAAAATCGTAGATCTGTATCAACTTTGAGTGATTCCCGATAACCGGAATTGGAAGGTTTTCTACTTTTAATTTTTCAAAAGACTATAACTTGAGTACTATTTCAGATAGATAAATGAAATTTTACATGTAAGTAGAATATCTAATTCTCAGCTATCTATCAAATTTTGATTAATTTCCGTTGACGAAAAGTAGTAATTTTTGTTATTTTCAATTTCTCAAAAAAAAACAACGCATGTGAATATATAAAGTACTAATAATATTCCGCACTATTATACACATTTTGTTTTGCGTTCTTTTGGTGTGCAATTCTTTTTTTTCTGCGAGACTCTATTATATTTCAAAAAGTTTAAGTAATTAAAAATGGATTAAAAATCATGTCTATATCCCGAGTTGCCATCCCCTGTTTTTTTTTGTATAAGAATATTCGAGATCACTCCCGTTTAATTTTATTACCAATAAGTTTACAATGTGATATAAAGTTAGTATTAAGCATCGAGTCAAGAAGACGTATTTGTTTTTGTGTGTACTTTACCGGCAAAAACAATGTTTTATTTCTGGTTTACATGACTTCCAAAACAGTTTTCCAACGCCTTTTTGCTGTTATGTGCATAGGGCCTACTTGTAAGTTTCAAAAATGTTAAAAATTATAAAAATAAAGAAGTATTGTAGTCGTGCAAAACATCGTAATCGATATTTTCAGAACTCTCGACGTTTAACACCTCACTGATTCGGAAAAACACAGTTTTGCAATTTTGTTAATATATCTGTGTGTGTTTGTGTGTATGTGTGTGTATTTTTATATGTGTTTCTATCTGAACAAGATAACTCGTGTACTTTTACAGCTAGGTTGATGACATTACATATATAAGTATTATATCAAATTTGTAGTAGTAGTTTCCTAATCAAACCTGACGGTCTAAAGGGCAAGTGAAGTAGAGTTCACTTATTTCTGTAC